TCGTGCAAATAATAATTTATTGTATCGACCTTTAAATTATCGGAGAATACGATAAACAATCACGACTCTTACGTATCTTTAGATTCATCTTAAAGAAGTGATACTAAGTCTAGAATAGTGTTAAATTGTATCCAGAATCGAGTTAAAACTAAATTTGGTTAAATATCAGAATAAATTCACGTCTTAATTCAAATAAAATGTGAACCAAACTTCATTCTGCATTAACTTGGACCTTAGACAATAGACATGCTGATATAAATTTATAATAAATTGAGAAGGGGCCTCAATGTATCACATAACATGAAAACAAATAAAGTTATATTGCATTTTTTCTCTTATTTAATCGTATCGAATTCAAATACCTACTAGAGTAACAAATAAAAGATTGGTAGAATTGTATTGGCACATCATCTTATTGTAGTCTTTATGCACAAACTCCATATACACTAATCCTAGTAAATGTACATCCTCAATTGCGAGGCCTCGTAGAACTAATCCTAAAATTCAAAAGCAATTATTACGATCTTTAGTACAGTTTTTCTTTATCGTTTGTAATCAAGAATTTGTTTGTAGTGTCTTGTCCAACGTGGGTTTTATAGGATCCACTTGCATTAACTTTCAATTAAGAAAAGTAGGGAGAAAGAAAGAAAGAAAAGTGGAAAACGGAGAATATAAAAACTTATCTCGAAAGAAGAAGAGAAATGAAAAGCTAGAATCTTACCTTAAAGCAAAGTAACAAAGAAGGGAAATGAAGAATAGTGGAATAAAGGAGGTAAAAATAAAAGTATTTGTGCGTTCTCAAGTTTGAATAATGCAAGGTTTAGTTCTGCAATCTTGTTTGATTCTCTTATTTTTTAAATTGTGTTCACATTCTGCTATGAACTCTCTTATAAGAATAATGCTGCTTGAACAGACTTTGAAAACAGAGTTTGGGGCTAAGTTTTTTTTTTTTTTTCGAATTGTCTAATAACATTGTGCCACGTGTCCCTTGATTTTAATCCATGACCCTGTTTGTATAGCAAGATTGCTCTTCTAATAATGGTACTTAATTAAGATCCAAATATTTTAGTTTTATGATATTTTTTAATGTTGTTGTATTCGTGAAGAAAGATTATTGATAGGGTGACTATATTTACACCAATTTTTTTTTTTATAAATACATCACATTTTAATTACATTAAAGGTTATTAACCTTTATTCATTATTAAACTTATATCTTTAACTTTTTCATCATATTCTTATTTTTTATATTTTATTAATCAGAAAATATTATCCTTAATCATTGTTTCGTTCAAAAATATTGTTAGCGTGTTTAAAATGAGGGTAAAATATTTAATCGTATTTTTGCAGTAATATTAGTTTTGTTTATTTAAAAATACAATGGGCAAATAAGACTTTTTATTTTATCTTTTAAAAAATTGGAGAAAAACCATAATATGGAATAATTTATGTTAATTTGAGAATAAAACAACAATGAAAAAAAAAACAAGACATAAATGTGATACTTGTTTAAATATTATGAATCTCTCATGCAATTAAAATGTATTCTATTAAAAAAATGTGGTGTGAATATATTTAGTCTTATTGATATTATATCCAAGGATGTTAATGAATTAGATTTTGATCCGAATCCGATCCTAATCCGATGAATTAATGGAAGATGGATTCAAGGTCTCAATCCGCTAAGGTGATTAAGATTCAAATTCGATAATCCGTTAACTAAATGAAGCGAATATGGATATAAATCAATTCGATCTGATTTGAAGATAATACTTTTTATATATTATCGCATAATTTATTACACATAATTTATTTATTTTTTTTATTTTGAAACTTGTATTATACTTTTTACGTACTTTTAAAATAATAAATAATATTAGATAATANCTTTTAAAATAATAAATAATATTAGATAATAGTATAATATTGTTAAATGAAATATTTGAAGGGTTTTTAATTTCTTATTAATTAAAATAAGATAATAAAAAACAACAATGTAACAACATTTGTAATTGTTTTCATTGTTCCCAAGTTCCCACATTGGATATCCATTAGAATATCACAAGATTTGCAATCTATAATTATGTGGGCCAAGAAATGGATATAAAGTTATTTGGGCCTTTTAATTCTAGTGCTTAGAAGTTGATTAATATGAAATTTTTATGGGAAAATTAGGTCTAGTACCCTGAAAAAATTACTAATTTGATTAATACCCTATTTACTAATTAAATGATTTAATCAAGTATTTAATACTGTCTAAAACTATCAAAACCACACTCTCAGGTCTGCCTGTTTTCGCGTAATTGTCTGCAATTTAGCCCCTACCCCATTTCCTTTGTATGAATAAATCTTAGCTTGTAGTCAAGCCGCTACCCTCCACGGCGTAGTCGATGAATGTGGTGATAAAAGTGGTGCGGCAGAGGAAGCGGACGGTGGGACAAGAGTAAATGTATAGTATTGAATTGGTCTTGGAGTTTGGACTTGACCTACCGGGATTCCGCCTATGAGTCGAACCCACTGCTAATGGGTGTAATGATATCGAAAGAGAGCGTGAGGAAGAGACTCGAATTGGAGCGGGGAATGAAAAAAATACTCCAATGAGATTGAGAACCTCCCAAAACTGAGAATCTCTGTCGACACTTCACGTTTTCCTTACAAGAACAAGTAGGGACATCGATCTGCCATTTGGATTTCTTGAATTGTATCGGAGACATTAAAATTGGGAATGGAGAAATCCTCCACCCTGAAATCATCTGCCCCAACCATGGAAAAGCACGAGGTGGTGGTGGACTTGGTGGAGGATTGGGAGGTGGAGTTGGCGGTGGACTGGGAGGAGGAGCCGGGGGTAGACTTGATGGAGGAGCAGGATCAGGAGGTGGTGGTGGACTTGGTGGAGGCAACGATGGATGTTTAGGCGATGGTGCAGGTGGTGTAATATTAGTTTTTCTATAGTTTTATGGAGAAGAGAAGAGATGGTGTATTGCACAAGGATGAATTGCTTTTTTCTTGATTTTTCATCAGTTTTGTGCACATGTAAATACATATAATGCAAGTGATCGATTACATTATTAAAAACCCAAAAATGTAACCATTTCAAAAATGTGTCTTCCATCACATTTCATTGTCTTTGGAAAAACAATGGGTTCAGTGTAGACAATAACATTGTTTTTGAATTTAACAATCAAACATTGAATTATCATATTGGATTAGATCGAATTAAATCAAATATAGGCAGATCCAATTCATATTCGATCAATTTACAATCCTAATCATACCAAGTTAAATGCATCAATGATGATTGTACTCTTCACAATGTTTCTTATTGGACATTGAACTTTAAAACATTTATTACTAGCCGTGCTTAAATGGTTTATAAATGTGATACCGTCACTCTTGTCATTAATCGTTTAAAAAATAGACAGGATGGATTGTAATTATTAAAATGTTGGTAGGGATCAGCTCTAATTGTGCAAATTCAGTGCATATAAATCTAAAAATTTTATCTTTATAATTTTCACTAATTAATTTGAACAGCTGAATTATGAGAGTGCAAAGCACTTGAAAAAGTAAGAAATAGTTTTCTTTCCCATTGTCCCAACTTTCTTGATTTAAGGTGCCAAGAGAAAGATCTCTTTTTATGACTTGTCAAATTCTACATGGCAGTTGATGTCTAAAGAGAGCATCAATTCCTTCGTATTTATAAGCTTGTATTGACTCATATAAATAGCAAGTGTCTCTTGTAATTCCCTCTGCTCTAATTTGCAAGAGAGTTTTAGATCATGCACAGTTATTGCTCAATGCGTGCACGTTTATGTATTCAAAATGTGGCCTTGCACGAAAATAGAACAAAACAAAGAACGTAGAAGGATGGAATATTGTTCTTGACAAATTTTTCCATTTTTTTTCCCTATGGCCGGCTCTTGGAAGAAGATGGGTATGGAACTCTTGTCATCAAGCATTGGAGTTGGCAATGGGCCAAGCCGAGCCTGCTCAGTCCCATTAGCCACAAGCTCGGCTTGGCCATCGTGGCTTGCTCGTCCACGAGCTCAACGAATTTTTTTCTTTTTTTAACCCTTTATAATAATTAGCTGGAGTTAAAATTATATACGGATAACTTGTTAGTATACAATTTATTTATTTTTTCAAATCAAGCATCCGAAAATAAAAAATTCATTTAGACACTTTTCCTTGAGCTTTTTCTGGTTTCCTTGATGAGGCATTTGCCAAACACATGATGTTTGACAGCACACTTCATTGACGTTACTTGAAATTTGAGGAAATGGATTATTCATTTTCGAAGGCTTGCTTCTACCGAAACAATAACCTTCGTTTTCGTTAAATTGAATGTAGAGAATTGATACGAGGTTCGAATAATTGAATTGTATGAATATGAAATGTATAAAATTGTAGAATTAAAATGTATAAATAATAAATTGAATCGAGATTTGAAATTATATATTTTTGTTTTAAATTTCATTTTGAACAAGCTTGGACCAACTACTTAATTTTCAAGTATAAGGAATTAAAATTGCACATGAATAACTTGTTATGTGTATAATTTTTTTTAAAAATCAAAATATCATTAAGAAAACAACAAAAAATGATTATATGACGAAATTAAATATCATTTACCCGACTACACACAATTTCAACATACTTATTTTGGAATAGAAAATAAGCGTCTTGTCAATCATTTACGCAAACTAATGCTTCGAAAATGTTTTATTTGAGTCGGTTCCTGACCAAGAACAGAATTCGTTTACCTGCACTAAAACCAGATTTCAAAACTATAATGCTAACTGAAGGTGTTAGTAGATCTTTTACAACTGCGAAAACAATTGGATATCTTCATTCGTTTGTTCTTTCGCCAAAAATCAAGTAAATCAAATTGTATTGCATCAACATGCTCTACGTTACTAAGCAATTGATGATTAAAATAGTTAAGTAACTCAGTGACATTCTAGTTGAACTTGCTTCCGATGTTTGATTATACGCAGGAGACATACTAGAAGAACCTCACGCACTAAATCTTTCATCCCTAATGCCTTCAAATAAATTTACTATTTCTACATCATCTTCTTCAAGATTAGCGGAAAGGGTGAGTACAGAGGGTGCCCGACTGACGTTTGCACCCAACCACTATTTATACAATTTATATATGGAAGTTAACATGTTTTCTAAATTATTAGAATAAGTGATTGACGAGTCAAAGTTTAAAGAGTTCGTGATTTTGTCTAATAACATATTTAGTACCTCTCAAATTATACATGTGGTCCATTACACGTGCCAAATGAAATAAGATACCCAAGTCTTCACAGAACTTTCTAAACTTTAGTTCCATAAAAAAATAGTATTTCATTAAAATTAGAATCATCATCAATGTCATCCAAATCAATTGTATGAATACTTTGGTGAGCATCGTTAACGCCCATTCCCAGCAAATCGTCGGGAATGGAGACATCATTAAGACGACAAACTCATTGTGGAATTAAGATTGTGGAGTTATAGGTGGATGGTCACCGAACAAGCCCTCAACAAAAGCGTTAGGATCCATGTGTCTATAATAGAATAGAATGTTTGTTAAGAATAAAATGAAATAAAATTATAGTAAAGAATGTAATCTGAATGAAGATGAAATGTATATATTAGACGGTGTAAAATATATTGTAGAAAATATTATTGAGAGAATGCATGTTAATAGTTATAGAATTGAATGTAATAGAATGTGTATGTGTATGTAATATAATCGAATAATTGATAGTAATTTGATATTTTGGTTGTATAGAGAATGTAGAAGAGGGTAGATAGTTTGTTTGAAAAGCGGATTGAAGTTGAGTAGTATTTATAAGGTTAAAAAAATAAAAAAAATAAAAAAATTCAGTAACCACTGGAAAGTGATCGTTTGGTTACTTTAGCTCGATGGGCCACGAGTCAGTGGGCTTGCCCACGAGCTGCTTATCTAAAATGGCGACTTGAGCTTGAGCCCCTCGCTCGACTCTTGTTTGAGCTTGTCGACGAGCCCAAACTACTTGACCCTTTTGCCATCTCTTCTTGGAGGTAAAAGTTATTTATATTTTGTAACATACTTCATACATAAATGGAAGTCGAGGAAAACTAGGTCGGGATATTTATGATTTTTTTCTTGTTCTATTGCAATTTTTTATTTACAAAAGAAGAATTTATGGTGCATCCGTATCAAGAGAGAAAGCTCCATTAACAAAACCCCAATTCAGAATACATCCTCTGAAATCCCATATCAAGAAAAAATAAATATCCAAATGGAAAATGATAAGTGTAGTTTTTATACTCGTGGCGCTAAATCCTGATATTTTATTATCTTTTGAAAAAAATTCTACCTAATTTATGTTATATTATATTTTGTAGATAATATTTTATTTTTATCGAAGAATTGAAGAAAAGAATGCAAAATAGTGAAAAATTGCAAAATTCAAAGTGTGATGACTAAATTGGCATGGGCTGCACAAATAAAATTGTGTCAAGGATCAACTTGCGTTACATAAAAGAATCGAAGACTTGGAAAGAAGAATTAATTTAATTTGGTGTTGGAATTTACTGAACCTCAATTTGGGCTTTTAAAATTGGACTAAAGATGGGCTGCAATATTATAAATTATAGATACACATGCAGAGAAAAGAGGGTTGGAGAAAATAGGTTTTCGGTAGCTACTTGGGAGAGGAAGCCGACAGCCATTTGAGAAAAAAAAAGAAGAAGAGAGAGAGAGAGAGAGAGAGCATAGTGGGTTGCTATTTTGGTGGAAATTATATACATACACAGAGGAGAAAACAGAGGCAGAAAGTGGACAAAAACAGGGGCTGTGACTTTAATTCGTATACACACGTACACACGGGCAGAAAGTGGCTGAAATTGAGAAATATAATTTCACGTTTCGTCAAATTTTGGTGATATCTTTCCACTTTTGCGTGTTTAAATTCAAAGTTATGAATGACTAAATACTTTTATTGTTAGGAATGATGATATAACTTAAAAATTTTTATTACATGTTTAATTTCAAGATTTTCATATCGTTTTGATACTTTTTAATTAATTATTATGTGCTTAGTGTTTTAATTAATGTTTGCGCAACAATTAATTAATTTGGGAATAATATTGAGATTGAGAGGTGCTGTATAATTTTAGCTCGTGCAATAATTAATATAGACATTATAAGAGATCGAGAGATAATTATAGGCTATGCGATCCATGTTGAATTTCTATAGATAAATGTATTCACATGTGTGTGAATTTACATAGAAATATAGTAAGTTCGGGTATACGAATAGAATTAGTGTTGTTTGAGAGAGTTAGCAGGTGTGAAGAGATCACTAAATAAATTGGAATTAAATGTATGATAAATAATCTAAGTAAAATCAGAAATCCTAACTAACCAATCACGTAATCATTTCTACAGTTTTAATTTGAGTTTGTTACTTTTAATTAATCATTTGCTATTTTATTTATTAGAACTTCATTTAGAAAACACAATTTGATTTGATCATTAGTTACTATTTTAATTTAAATTGAAGTTATGTTAGTTTAAAAATTTATAATAGATAGTAGTCTTTGTGAGACGATATTCGAACTTAATAAATTCACATTATTACTTGTCATACATAATCTTATCTATAGTTTTAATTTGAGTTGGTTAGTTTATTTAATAATTTGTCATTTAATTTATTAGAATTTCGTTTAGAAAACAAAATTTGATTTGATCATTAGTTACTATTTTAATTTAAATTGAAGTTATGTTAGTTTAAAAATTTATAATAGATAGTAGTCTTTGTGAGACGATATTCGAACTTAATAAATTCACATTATTACTTGTCACGATCCATACACTTACAGAATTTCACGAACAGAAACTCTCACAGAAATTCCCAAAAGTCAACCCAAGTAACATTTTTTAAGAAAAAAATTTGTAAGAAATCGTTTTGAACCCAATATTCAATCAAAAATTGGCAAAATTTGAAATTTTTTGTAGTGTTTAGACTCTGAATCGAATTTGTGTTTGTTGTGAGTTTGGAATCCTGTCATACAAGAAAATATATTCTTCTTCAAAATTGTAGGATTGCATATTGGATGGAGACGCTTAAGAGCCTGGTTGATTCTCATTAATTAGGAAAAAATAAGTTTTGAATGTGTGGTTAAAATGTAAAAAAATAACAATTTGGTATACGTGTAGAATATTTTATTATGTAAAATGTGTGGTTGAAAATGATTACGTAACAAACTATAAAATAAGTTATATGTGTCAAGCGGGCACTTAATACCCAATCAGTTGCCAAAGTTTGTTGAATACTGTACTCAATTGTTTTCAGTTCCAATTAGTTACACATTTTTTATTTTTTGTGTAAAAATAACCCATTTTTGTTCAAAAAGGATGATTTTTCCAAAATTTATGAAGATGCCTGAGGTGTCTACCCACAAATGGGTACTTACCATTTTTTGTCTCAACTCAAACCTAACTCCAACATGATCGATTTGATCAAAATTTAACTCAACCCAACTCGTGTAAATGTTGAAATCCAATACAACACAACCCAATCAAAGTATCAGTAGGGTTGTGTTAAGTTTGTCGGTTTCGGTTTGGGACAACTTGTCAATAAAGATTAAAGTCATCCAATTTTCTATTATACTAAATTCGAATAGAGAAGATTAAATAATAAATAAATAAATAAAACTATCTATTATCTTATTCAATTCTTTTTAGTCAAGCCTACAAAGAATAAAGTGCATTTTTTTTAAGTAGTCGAGTTGAGCAGGTTTATTTGGTTTTCATGGGTTAACCCATAACTCGACCCAACCTGCCTACACGATCAAAGAACCGAACCCACTTAAAATCAGCAAAAAAAGGGACCCAAACCAATCAGGTTGGTTTGATTTTTACGGGTTCAGTGGGGTTTTATTCACGAATTAACCTGCTCTACCAGGCCTGTAAAAGGCCTGGTAGAGCAAAAGCTCTCACGTGAGGTGGGTCCACCTCATTAAAAAAAGAACCCCAAATGTTTAAACACCCACCCCCACAGGCCCCACCTCACTTTTGCACTGCCGGGCCATTTACAGGCCAGGCAGTGCAGCATGGTTCTTTATTCACCCCTAGGACTTATAATGATGAGATTTATTACATACAAATTTGATTACGAAATAAAAGGTAATGAAAACTGGGGAAAAACATGATGTTAGGACCACAAAACATATCTAAGCTAACCATTCACTTGTAATGAATCATAGACAGAAAAAGAAACAAGAAGAAAACATCAAAGTGATGCAAGCTCAATAGTAGGAATTGTCGTGACTATCTCTCCAAGTTTGAGCTTGTAGAGATTGGCTGTTTCACCAGCAACATCAAGATTAATTATGAGAAATCGAATCTCTTTCTTAGCAAACAGCCGACTGAAGAGCTTGGCGAAAGACAGCCCCATTTCTCCACTGCCAACTCCATAATATTAAACAATTATTTCTATCAGAGTTCTTTTGTATGCCAGTTGCAATGTTTCATTCCTAAATTACGAGGTGCTTTTCTTTACGATTTTTGAATATTTTTTGAGGCATTGCATATAAGTGTCTGTTTGATTGGTTTAAATTCCATGAAAAATGTCACATTCGAAGAATTTAATTTATACTTTGGCAGTTTGATAAGAAATTGAAAATGAAGTTCGAATTCCAAAGAACAACCACTTAAAACTTGTTTTTTTGCCAATTTTATGGAAAATGCATTCCTACGAGATATTTGTGTTTTTATTTTCCAATTTACATGGAATTAGAAAGACTTTCCACTTTTTTCTAATCATACGTATCCTAATTGTTAAGGGATGGGGATTGGAATGAGGAAGAAGATGATTATTTTCATTTTAATTTTTTATTTGAAACTCATTTGCATTTTTTTTACAAAATTTGGGATATATTAGCAATTAATTAATTATTTTTTTTATTTTATTTAAATATGAGGAGACATTCATCATTTTACACACATTTATTTAGAAATTGGATGAAAATAATGATTTCCACAATGAAATGTGTAAATAGAAGTGACAATTTAAAAAAAAAAAAAACAACTTTGAGACATTTTTGCAGAGTGAAATGTTTCAAAAATCATTGAACTTGTACATTGGTCACGGACAACTCACTGAACTTCAAAATGCTTCAACTTACTCACTGAACTTATTACATTTGCACTCCATCCATCACTCGGTAAAATCTGTTAAATCTTTTGCTGATATGGATGACAGAAATCCAGCGGGGCGATGAATGGCTCGCCACATCAACAAAAAATATCCAACTCGCATTTCAAGTTATTTAAAAAAAACACAAAAATTAAATGAAATTCAAATAAAATTAATTGTTGACTTCCGGCACGATTTTGGAGTGAGTGAGACACGTTTTTAAACAAAAAAAAAAAAAGAAAACATTAAAAACCAAATTCATAAACTCATAACCCGTCTTCAGAGACCCCAAATGAATTCCAAAACAACTCCAAAATCCCCTAAAGCCCTCAAGAACCCTAGTCCCAAATCTGGATCTTCTTCTCCATAAACCCTATGCAAATCTTCATCTTCTTCTACTCCCCCACAAATCAGGAAGTTACCAAGTCATTGGATGATTGGGTCGAAAATGTATAAGGGCGGTGCCGAGGAAGACATTGCCTTGCTTAAGTTCTATGGGTGGGACTTGCCTCGAGTGTGCTCGGATACTTTGCATTTGATCATGCTTTTGAAGAAAGGTGCTGAGAAGGGTTTGGATTATGTGCCGCAACATTATGTGCAGAAAAATCGTGAAGCACTGAGGAATCCATGCTCATATGAGCATTAGTAGTTGTGAATGTAATTCAATTTGGAGGATAGTTCCCTTCTAATTCTTTACTTTTTTACTATCGATGAAGCATTTAACTTGAAAATGACTTGGAGAGGTTTGAGTATAGGTTAAATATTGAAGTTTGTAACTCGAAAATTGTTGAACGTTATTCGAATGACACACTGTTCTGATGCTAAAATTTTTTTGTTTTATTTTCCATTAATGCAATTCATTTCACTTCTAAAACTCCTAAGGACAATTTCTAACTGTGATCAGACAAGATTCAAGTGAAATATGGAACAGAGATGTGAATAAATTTCAGTTTTTTACAATTCACCTCTTAGGCGATCTTGAAAACCAACCATGATTTGCAAGTTTCAGAATTCATCATCTACAACAATTCATCATCTTCCATAAACATTCAATTTCAAGTTTCAACCCATGAATCCATAAGTCGACCAAAAATTGTTTAATCCATTACTACAGGTTTACATTTCAAGATGCCTACAATGACACAAAAATAGTAGCTATCTACAATTCAATTTCTACGAGAAGTGGCTGCAATTGCGTTTGCACGTCGTTGTGAGTGAACTCTAGCGGCCCGTAGCTGTGAAGACTCGTTAGCCTCTATTTCCTGCAACATGTCAACCATTTCCTCCAATGTTTCTGTTGGTCCCTCATTTCCAGCAATTGGTGTTGAGGAATGATTGCATCGATTTGTAGCCAATTTCCCCTATTCAAATATAAAACAAAGAGTGTGAACTAATAGAAAAATAATGAAGTATGGATAAAGCTCAGACACAAAAATAATGAGTCTTACACTTGCAATCACTTCCCCTGTTACCGCAAATGGAAAACATCATTCCAGTAACTACAAAATATTTTTAAGTTTTGAGAAATGCTAACTTACTTACATCTAATACGACATGTGACATGGAATGATGCCGTTTGTTGTGCCCACACACATGGCAAATGGAGCATGTCATTGTTACTTGTCCTCGTTTCTTGACATACGATCTCCCTTGCGTGTGCACAACGACTTCCTCTTCATGTTTCCTTCTTTTTGTCTGTCTCCGTCCTCTGCTTGGAGTTGTCCAGTTTGGAGGTTTAATGGGTTCCAGATCGGCTTCCGGCCACATGCTTCGACCATTAATGGGGCTCAAGATGTTCCCATAGCAACGCAAGTACGCCTCGGTAGTATAACAATTGTCAACATATTCTTCAGGGTCGTTCCTACAATGTCGTATGACTGCCATAGCGTGCAAGCAAGGTATCCCAGTCAATTCCCAATATCTACAAATACAATTTCTTTCCTCAAGATCAACTACATATGTACCATAACTACAATCCACTTGCTATTTAGGACCCCCAGAAAAGTGTACTATGCACTCTCTTGATCTCTCAGCAATGGAGTGCAATTTTCTTCTGATCTTAGGGCAAATTCGATCTTCATAACGGCTCATCTGAATTCGCTTCATGAATGTCAACTGCATGGATGTAAGCATGTCCAAAATCATTTTCTCGCGATCTTCTAAAAGAGTCTTGTTGAAAACTTCACAGCCGTTGTTCATCAAGATGTCACACTTCGAATGCACTTCGAAATGTGATTTGCTCCATTCGCCGAGGGAAGGGGGGGGAGGGTCTTTGCATCAACCAACAGAAAGCATCCTCGCTCACACTCCGTATTTGTTGCATCCAGTGTTTGTAGTCTGCAACAGTAGTAGACTTTGCGGTACGCCATAGGTAGTCCTTCAATGTTTTACCTTTGAAACCGGCACTGAAAAAATTGGTGTACATGTGGCGTACACAGAACCTATGCTCGGCAGCCGGAAACAATTCTTCGACGACATTTTACAATCCTTTCTGTCGATCAGTCATCAAAGTCCAGCCACTCCCGTTGCCAATATGAACATCATTTTCCAGATGAGTCATGAACCACCTCCATGGTAAAGTGTTCTCTTTCTGAACTACGGCGTACGCGATGAGATATATGCAATCATTTGCATCGTGACCAACAGTGGTCATCATTACTCCATTGAAACATCCACGTAAATGGCATCCATCTACTCCGATAACCTTTCTACGACCATTGACAAAACCAGCTTTGCATGCTTCAAAACATATATAGATGCCCTGAAAAACTTGATTGTCGGTTGCAATATAAACGGTTGAACCCGGGTTTGTCCTATAAACCTCTGCAGCATAAGACCACAACTTACCAAACTGCTCCTCAATTGTTCCATGCAACAATTGCTTTGCATACCGTCTCATCTTCCATGCCACATTCCGAGTAATATCAGTCTTCAAGTCTTCTTTCACTGCTGCAAGTATACTCTTAGTTTTCCAATTCGGGTCTGCCTTGAAATGCTCAATGTAACGGTTAGTCAGGAAGATATAATTGCAGTGTCTATTATACTGGTCCCGACTGCATGTGTGCTCCGGAGTATAAGATTTAACTTGGAGACTGCCTGCTATTCCCAAAGTGGATGCCCATATCCTCCAACTACACCCTACTTTGCATATTCCCTGAACTCGTTTCTCATCGTTAGCCTTAAATCTAACATTATACCCATTCAAGGCTCCGTATGTTCTTATCGCCTTTCGAAATTCTACAACATCCCTAAAGAGCTGGCCAACAACGAATTGTGGATTACTCATATCAGCCTCCGCCATAAATTTTTAATAAACTACCGAACCTCATCATCGGATGGACAATCGGACATAAGCTCTTCGGAGGACGGGTATCCAAATCAGGAATACGAGCATCGACTTCAACATTCAAACCTACCTCAATCCCATCTGTGACGTTATGTTCATACAAATTATCATCCACTTGGGAGTCCAACTCGATTCCAGAATCATTGAAATCCGGGTCCTCACCCAAACAATCTTCACTTTCGTCGGCGGTGCTGCCATCTACGTCAAAGAATTGAAAACATAAAAAAAAACAAAGAAATCGTCACATAAATCCAACACAAAATGACACCTACATTCTCGACATCAACTGCGAAAACAGCAAAAAAATAGAATTTTTTTTAAATTGTTGTTGCCTTCTTGTGGTCCTTTCATGCGCTTATTCGTCATTTATTGAATATGTGAGGTCGATTGTGGGGGCAAAAATCCAGATTTGGGACTAGGGTTCTTGAGGGCTTTGGGGGATTTTGGAGTTGTTTTGGAACTCATTTGGGGGTCTCTGATGACGGGTTATGAGTTTATGAATTTGGTTTTTGATGTTTTCTTTTTTTTTCTTTTTTTTTTTTGTTTAAAAACGTGTCTCGCTCACTCCAAAATCGTGCCAGGAAGTCAACAGTTAACTTTTTTGAATTTCATTTAATTTTTGTGTTTTTTTTTAAATAACTTGAAATGTGAGTTGGATATTTTTTGTTGATGTGGCGTGTCATTCATCGCCACGCTGGATTTCCGTCATCCATATCAGCAAAAGATTTAACAGATTTTACCGAGTGATGGATGGAGTGCAAATGTAATAAGTTCAGTGAGTAAGTTGAAGCATTTTGAAGTTCAGTGAGTTGTCCGTGACCAATGTACAAGTTCAATGATTTTTGAAACATTTCACTCCATTTTTGCATAATAAACTTCATATATAGAAACTTTTTGAACTAATAACCCTCCTTGCAACAAAATCAAACCGAGTAAATTGTTTGAACAGTTAGTGAACTTTAACATGGTCACGACTTACTCACTGAACTTCAAATTGCCTCTAAATGGTCACTGAACTTTCATTAATTGCACCACATCCAACACTCAGAGGGCAGTAGGGTGGGCAATTGGAATCGAGTTCAGTGATCATTTAGAGACAATTTGAAATTCAATAAGTAAGTCGTGATCATGTTAAAGTTCAGTGAGTATTCAAACAATTTCCTCAATCAAACCTCAGTCTGTCTCTCCCTCTCTCCAAATTCACTGATCCTCTTCACTTTTTTTTTTCTTTTTTTCCTTTTAATCTCTCTATATCTATCTATTGTATGCACACTTCGTATATGTATCCGTACTTTCTCATTTTACCTATATATAAATATACGTTTATTTGATATACAGTGGCGTAGAAATAGGTTCTGTGTTTTTCTTCCGCCGCCATCAAGCGACCTGATTAGTTAAAGTCGTTGTAGTGTCAACGCTTGATTTTCCGGTGCCCCGAATTTTTGGATTCCGATTAGTGTTTTAACTGGAGATATGTTATTTCGATTGGTTTTTGAAGGTTTGATGTGGAACCGTTCTAATTAGGGTTTGGAGATTTTGAAATATTAGGAACTTTTTGCGTTTCTTGGCGAAATATGCTGCATTGATAATCATATTTCGATTTTTTGCTGGGCGGTGTTATTTAGAGAGTTAGGGTTTGGACTTGTATAAGGTTAGAGAAGTGAAACTAAAGTTATGCCCCAGAGTTCGAGGCACAAATCACATAAACATAGCAAACACAGTTCGAAGGAGGCTAAGGATAAGGATTGTTCGGATTCTGAAGAAGATGTAAACATGAAGGAGAAAAGTAGCAGATGTGATTCGACGAGGGCTTATCGAGATTCTGCCAGTGGTGAGAAGCATAAAATTTCATCGCAGGCCCGAAAAGGCAAGGATGGTAAAGATCTGAGTTGTGACGGGAATGGTGAAGCTTCGGAGGAGTACATGTCTTCAAAAAGGAGAAAAGAGAGGGCTCTCCTCAACAAGGAGAGGGCTGATGTAAGTGGAAGAGTTAGTGGTGATAGGTGGGATGGGGCTGGAGAGGAGAGAGGGCGTAGTGATAGGAATCTGGAGAAGGAAATAAATAAAGTGGGAAGTTCAAAAATTGACTTGAAGTTAAAGGGAAGTAATAATAAAGGGGAAAGTTTGAGAGTTGAGTCTAAGAGTAAGAGTAAAAGGCATGAGAGTGGAACTGGGGGTGAGAGCAAGGAGGAGAATGTGGAATCCTTGGTGGTGGAGAAAGATGAGAGTACGAGTAAAAGGGAGTCAAAGAGGAAATCTGAGAGGACTTCTTCGGAATGGAGAGAAGGGAAGGAATTGATGGATAAGGAATGCTGGTTGGACAAAGACAAGAAGGGTGGTCAGGAGAGTAAGTATGGTGATGCTGAGATTAAGGCTATGGACAGGAATCTCGAGAACAATCAAAGCTCACAGTTGGGGGATTTTAGTGCAGATAGACAGCGTAAACGTGGTAGAGAAAATACTGGTAAGGTTATTATTGTGGTATGCATGGGACTTATTGATGAACTTTGTTTTTGACGTGCCAATTCTTGTTTACAGGCATGGTTGATACTAGTGGTAGCAATATAGTTTAAAGTATTTATGACTTATGAATGTTGAATTTTTAGTACTTCATCCGTTTTGTGAACTTCTGACATGCCAGTAGAGTTCTGATCAGTGTGAAATTTCAGTTGGTGTCCAGATTCTGTTTTGTGGTCTGTGCTTTCAGAATTATGCCTTTGCATCATATTCAGTTGCAATGTACTATAAGCGTCTATATAAATTTATATTACTCTATTATGTATCCGTGGGGCCTGGCTCTAAAGGTCATTTTGAAAGCACCAAATCTTCTTAAAATGTTACATTGTTTGAACAGAAACTTAAGTTTGGTGTGCAAGAATGCTCAACCTGTTAAATAAGTAAATTTTCTGATGGTGATCTTATTAATTGTTAGATCTTGTGGGATATACAGTCTCCTAGGCGTTCTTCAGGGTAGATCTCCTTATGGTCTCCACTGTTTTTGTGTTCATTGTTTCTGTAAGATATAATAGAATTATTTTAAGAGTATCTCTGCATTCATAGATGACAAAAGAAGTTTAATGGAGAATTCAAGAAGAAGCTTTCAAATACTCCCTTGTGTCAATTTGTCTCCAAAATAACCAATTGATATGGTTGATGTCTGGACATGACTGTTTGGGTTGGGTTGGGATCCTAGGTTGATCATTAGAATTAGAATTATGGTCTTATTTTGTTTCAATATTAATTTGCTTTTTATTCTCTCCAAATGTGGACTGAAACAAATGCAGTAAAAAGCTACTCATAAAACTTTGAGGTGCAATTATATTGGACTATTTCCCTTTTAGTTATTGACTAACCGTGGACAATTACGTGGAATTTTTAGAAGAGATTTCTAATTTTTATTAGGTTGTACAAACAGATGTTTTATTTTTATTTTTGCTCTTCCCCTTTCTGTGCATTGATTGTTCTTCTCCGTTTGCATGTCTGAAAAATTGCAGTCTCTAGACTTGGTTATATGGTGTTGACTGTGGCATATTTAGATGTATATTAGTGATTTGTTGATTTTTTTATGTTTACTTTGAATTATTGGCATATTTTCTAATTGGTGCAATTTTTATTTTATTTTACTTTGAATTATATGTTTAGTTCTATTTTTTTATTCTATTTTTTTACATTGGATTTAGTAGAGTAGTTGCTTATATTTATAAAGCATTTCTTGAAAGTGGATTTTTTTTCTTGCTATTTTTATTTGTTGCTTATTATGCTTTGAAAGACAATGAAATCTGGTTTAGAGTCATTAGTCACATTGTTTGAAGTGACCCTTTGTGTTTGATTTGATGATTCGAACAGATTCTGTTTTTATCAGTTTTGCAGAAATGTAGCCATATATAGGGTATTATCAGCAAGATATCTCTTTCCAAAGCTTGCTTTCTATTTCATGGAAAAGATAGGCTGCTGATGCTCTGTGGTGTTATTTTTGTTTGGTTGCTGGATTTCTGCTTGCATTAACTTGAAGTAGCTAGTACTTTCTGTTTATCATTTTTTTTTTCTTTTTGAAGCATGGGACGTGCAAGATGATTTACGAAATCCTGAATTAGAGAAGGAACTTGAGAAAAGGATGCGAAGGACAAGAGAAGGTTTTACCAATAGAGAAAATGATGACAAACGATTCTCCTCGAGAGGTCACTGCAGTAAGGATGTGAAATTCAGTGTCGAAAGGCATATGGGTGGAAGCTCTGGAGACAGGTATGAGGGTGATGGTGACCGAGATGATAGACACAGAAATGGCAAGCACAGGGAAGATGCTGACAAAGAGGTTAAACATCGGGATATTAAGCATCGAGAGGATAGTGATAAAGAAGCCATACATATTGATGATATATATCGAGAAGATAGTAACAGAGATGGTAGGCGCAGGGGTGAAAAGTATCGTGAAGATGGTGAGCGAGAAAACAGATGCAGGGATGAAAAATATCGGGATGCTCCTGAAAGTGAAAGGGATGGCCGATGCAGGAATGATAAATACAGTGAAGGTGCTGAAAGAGATAGTAGAGACCGGGATGATCGTTATCATGAAGATACTGGCAAAGATGGTAGACACAACAATGATAGGTATCATGAAGATGGTGACAAAGATTATAGACGCAGGGAACGTACTTATAGAGAAGACATTGGTAGACATAATAGACATAAGGAAGAGAAACATTGGGATGATATTGAAAAGTACAGTCGGCATAAGGATAGAAAGCAAGGAGATGATTGTGATAGAGAGAAAAGACACATAGATAGTAAGTATGGTGATGAGCGTGGTTCAAGAGATCGTTTTGGTGACAAGTCTGACGCTAAGCATTCAAAGGATGATGGTTATGCTGGTGATTGTCATTCTAGGAAATCAAGCATGTATGATGAAGGTGTAAGCCAGGATGATGGAATTGTCAGGTGTGGAGATGATCAAGGTTGGAGAAGAAGTGATGATGTAGAGGATTATGGTAATAATAGAAGTGCCCAGGATCAAAGATCTGATGCTGAAAAGAAATCAGCAGGCAGTGTGAGAATGGACGGTCTTACTGATATAGGGAGGTCTACCTCTAGAAATGTTGATGTACAGATTTCTTCTAGCCATAGTAGACGACGCAGTTCTCCCAGCCCAAGTTTTCATGCTACAAGGGAGCACAACAGGTACGCATTGACGTTCTGTGATTTATTAGCTGCAAGTTCTTTTCAATAAGTTCTTTTAACGCATTGATACATTTTTAAGGAATAAGGATATATATCTTGGATATAGTAAACATTTTTTGATCATATGTCAATTGCAATATGCTATTTTTTTCCCCGCCTTTCCAAACGTTGGATTATCATCTGTAATGTACTTCTACCAGTTTGAATGCAATAGGATACACTGCACCTGTAAGCAACAAGGAGATCGTGAGAGGAAGAGGAGGCAATTAAATTATGTCCACGCTTTGTCTAAAAGCATGAAACTAAAAGCGAGGATTTTGTGAAATTTACAGTTTCTTCCACTGTCATCTTGGATTGTTTTGCTACAAGTTCCACAAGCGCTCATAATTCTTTGGTGTATGAAACTTGGATATGCTAAAGCACTAATCTGCATCTATAATGAATACTGTATTTCAACGAGTGTGATTATTGCATTAGATTTGGGTGTTAAAATTTCAAGATATAGGGGTTGTTTGATGGAGATTAAAATTAGATTTTGATAAAAGTTGATGGAATGTGTGGTTGAAAAGTTGTGGGACCGATGAAATATGTGGTTAATATTAATTGTTTGACTTTGACTTAAAATTTGATTTTAATCAATACCAAACAGGGGCATAGTAAAGATGAAGTAAACTTCTTGCTTGTAGAAATGCTATTTCTATCATGTTACAGAACACACTTCACACCAATACTTCCCATTTCTTTGTTCGAGTGTTTGATTTTGGAAACATTGGAATTAGCGTGTATACTGGGTTATATTTTACTAATTGTTGTAATTCCTCCTTTTCTTTTCTTGTCAATTTCATTAATGTTGGGGGTTTGGTTTTCTATTACCCTGATATTTTCCTTTCTTTTGATCCCATGATGAATGGTCCTCTTGTGCATTCATATGAGGGATTTTTCTTTCTTGTCAAAGCAATATGTATCAAGTTAAACTAAAATGCGGGATGATTTTTTTTTTTTTGGGTAGGCAGGGCTTTAGCTGATGCAAAATGGATTTCCTTACTTAGGGAGTTTAGTGGGTGAATAATAATTGAAGAGGATTGTCTGGTTTGTACTTTTGCTGTCTTGATCAAATACATAAACACCACAGTGTCTTCCCATTCTTGTTCTACAGCCTACATACTAAACTTGAATTTGGTTTGCTATATAAATCTTTTTGCTACTTAATTGGACTTGCCACATGTAAGAAAGTCCTCACTTCTCAATAATTTAGCTGCCTTGAATAGATTTATTCTTAGGTTCATATGCAGCATCTTTAGATTTCTTCACGAGTTTACTACTACAGACATTTACATGCCTTTATTTCATTTCAGGCTTTCTAATGAAATCAAGTATAGCGATTATGCTCATGAAGAGAAATTTCAGGACAAGATAACTTCTACTAGAGATTATGCTAGTTCTTCTGGAGGGGCTGAGAAGATTTCATCATCTCAATCCCTGGAGAAACTTGGTCAAAAAGACAGCCATCTCGGAGAGTTGTCAGCTGAAAGGCATCTGAAATCAGATATTCACACTTCATCCCTGCAACCTGTATATAAGTCTCCATCATCAAGTGCTGATCGGAGACACTTGAGTAAATCTAATGTAAGGCGGAGTCGTGACATTGAAGACTCAGCACAGTGTAATAGTGGTTCTAGGGATGCAAAGGATTACTCCGGTAAGGAGGGCAGGGGAAGTCGTGAGCCGTCCATGGACATTTTTCCTGGAGATGAACTTTCACGAGCTGATGGAGATACTTTATCTGTTTCTTCACCTTTTAGTAGAAATAGCCATTTATCTAGCAGTGCCAAGTCATTGCTGCCTCCTCCTCCCTTTAGGACGGGGATGGATAGCCGTCGTAGGAGGATTGGGGAACCTAATGTCGGAAGGGTTCAAGGAAATGCATGGCAAGGTGTTCCAAACTGGCCTTCACCTGTAGCAAATGGTTTCATTCCTTTTCCACATATGCCACCTCCCATTGGTTTTCATTCCGTGATGCAGCCATTTCCAGTTCCGTCAGTATTTGGTGTCAGACCTTCAATGGATTTAAACCATTCTCAGAATCTGTACCATATGCCTGATGCTGACAGATTTTCTGGCCATGGGCCGCCCATGGGATGGCATAACCCGGTGGATGATTCACGTCCTCTCCCATTACATGGTTGGAATGCAAGTAATGCTGTCTTTAGTGATGAATCTCACATTTATGAGAGGCCAGACTGGAACCCTTCTAGGACCCTTCCAGGTGGTCAGGGCTGGGAGACAAGTGGAGATTTGTGGAACGGCCCTAACAGATCTGCAAGCATGGAGAGGCCATCTTCTTCCGAGAAACAGAATAATTTTGTTCGAGGCGTTGACGAAGTTTCAGCTGGACAGAATGAGCAACCTCAACGTGATCAGCAGGCTGATGGTGCTCACATTAGTCAATTGAGTGATAGCTCTGAGAAGAATGCTGATGCTGAAGCTCCCCATATTAGCGAAGAAGAGACTCGTAATCTTGCTAAAATGTCAAGAAAGGATGATGTACAGTTTTGCCATGTGTACCTTTCCAAGCTTGACATTTCTGCAGATATTACCGAACCTGAGTTATTTAAGCAGTGGGCAAGCATAGTAGATACAGATCAAAACATAATATCTGATTTAGAAGATTCTAAAATTCTATACATGGAGGTAAAGATGGCATCTCAACTCTCTATTTCGTCTTAGTGCTTTGTTGTTTTGTCTATCACAATTCAAGTCTAATCAATTTTTCTTTTCCCATGGCAGCAAGCTGTGGAAACTCAAGCGGTGTCTCCAGGAAAAACTTCAACTGTTCCACTGTTTGCTGTAAAAAGTGATTTTGTCTTCCGGGTACACAGTTGTCCTGAATGTATATGCGCATTTGTGGTTAAAAGAAGTTTTTTAATGTAAAACAATGCCAATAATTTATCTATCTTGTTGGAGAGCACATATTTAGTTAATAATGCTATCTAGCACCACCTTTGCTACAACACCAATTTAGGTGACACTATATGATAGGCTCAATTAAGCCTCTGTTTGACATCAATTAAATCAAAACTCCTTTTCTTGTCTAACTCATTTTCAACCTCACATTCACACAATAAAATATTTTACACGTAAATTCAATTTTTTTTTCTACTTTTTAACCACACATTCTTTTAAAAATCACTATTTAAAACATTATTTTTTTCCAAATAATAATTGTCAAACAGAGGCTTAGTCAACTAAGAATACCTTGATAGCANAGAAAAAGAACTCGTTAGAATGGATGTCAAACAGGGGCTAAAGGTAAAATTATGTGATTCATTTAATTGTGCCTCTAATTTAATGTCACTTAGTGCCACCTTGATCGGTGTTATAACACAAATGCGCGCTAAATAGTATTACTCTTTAGGTAAATACATTTACCTTTTTTAGCTGAGGTAATATTAGTGCATATGCAAACTAGTCTTTCATACGCCCTTTTATCATTGTAGAAGTAGATTGAAATGTTAGTTTGTGGGCATCACTGATGTGTGCAGTTCATTTGAGGCCTTTTGGAAATGCCCTAGTTTTAGGTATTCTGAATAATTGTCATTGATTGTAGCACATCATCTTGGGCAAAGTTTTAGGGTAGCTAGAGGGGCCAAAAGTAAGAGAAATTACTTTCTGTGCTTTAGTCCTTGAGAGCATGTTTGGTATGCAGCAGCTCCCGGCACAATTGGACAATACAATAGATAAGATTTTATGTTCTTTAATACTCTATTGCCCGCCTTACTAAAACATAAAGCAAAGTAGCTTTTATGAATCACATAATTGAAATTATAAAGGAGTTGATTGTCCTTCTCTCTTCTTACTTCGGTGTTCCCTTGAGATTGCAGAAAGCAATGTCCCATTATAAGCGGCAGACAGAAGTCTTTAGAGTTGTAAATGAAGAGAAGCTCTCACTTTTGAGTGTGAAGGTCGAGTCAATTCCTAAATCAAATCAGGAGGAATTGAATGTAGAGAATGATAAAGTTGAGGAGCAGTCTCCGGCCGATGATATGCAAGACATTGAGGATGGTATTCCAAACTCTAACGAGAAGTTCGAACATCGAAATTGTTCTCCGATGGTGGAAGGGAGTTCTAGGGACTTGCATCAGAAGCTCGGTTTACCTGTTAGTATGAAAACGGAGAAATCAGGAGAGTTGATTCCTGGCTTGGACCATGTAAACACGGATGTGGATATGGATTCAAACCTGGACCCACATGAGCATATTGCTGAGAAGAACCAATTGTCTGTGGATAACAAAGGATCCGATACTCATTTGCTTGCTGGGATCAAGGAGGTGCCTACAGAATCTGCAGGTAATATTCAGGAACTGAAGTCGGGTCATACTAAATGTGGTACCTTACTTAATTCTGATGTGTCTGAAGCATGTGAGGGAATAATGCCAGAGTCGAATGAGTCCGGGTTAGTAAATTTAAATCAGTTACATAATTCTCCTGAAAGTACACGTTGAAACAATTTATTTTTCTCGTAAGTTCTTGAAATGCCATTTTGTATTTCCGATCTTCGTCATCTTTGTTTGCTGTTTGCTGCTGCTGATTGATAAGATTTTTGTGTTTTTCAGTGTTCTTTTTACTCCAATTTTTGTGCCCAGATGTGAATTTTTGCCCTTCCCTTTATTAGGGATTTTCGGAGTGGATGCAACTATTTTTCGTCGTTTAATATGAAAATAAATCATTTTGGTTCAACCCGACCCACTTCAAATTTATTTAAAATAAAGTTTAGCTTGTAAGCCAAAATCGGAATCCTATGTTATTTATTACCTTGACATGTAGTTTTATGACCAGGGAATGGGACCTCAGCTTAACATTTTTATCTCATTGAATGGAAAACGAAATTTGGTCTCTCAAAGCAGTTAATTTAGTCCTTTAAAAGATATTTGGATAATTTTGTAAAAATTAAGATCATCTTCCAAGAAATAAAAAAATACTACTCTCCTTTTTATAATTGTTATCTTGTTCGTTTATCGCTTTCGTCGACGCTTATCTTGTTGAACATGCGACTCTAATAATTTGCATTAAATTAATTGTTTGTCGAGTGGAAAGCTAAAATTTGAGTACTATTGATACTATCTTTTTAAGCATTCAATTATGTATTGAGAATCTCTTAAATAAAGATTTTGATTCTTCTCTTAAGACTAGTGAGAAGTACATGCAAGGCACGTGTCATGATGTAGTTGACTACGTAATAGCGTATGTATTAAAAAAAATATTTATGACAAACATTAGTTATATAAAATTTTCTTATAAGTTGTTAAATGTTTCGAGACAACATTAAATGTGGAGATGAAAAAAATCACAC